ATGCAAAAGAGATGATGAGAGAGAATTACTGAGCGGCACAGAAATTAAAAGGATTTCGCAGGAGATACACAGCAGACACTGTGAAAAACAAGCTCCGTATCAACAGAAGTTCAACCAGCTTGGCAACCACTGCAACCTGTTGCAAATATGAAAAGAGGGTCCAACACATGCTGTCTTTCTCTATATGTTTACTAAAGAAAGCTGCACAGAAATGTACCACCACAAAATAATTCCTCCTTTAAGTGGAAGACAGGATCCACTGATGCGGCAACTAGGGCTCACCTTAGGAGCTGCCAGCAGCCTAGGGATCATAGTTCTTCAGCTTACTCTGGGTTCCTGAACACACAGGGAGCATTCTGCAGGACACACTGTATCTTCTTAGTGAGTGGGATTTGAGGCACTGGTAGTATCTTCCAAACTACAGAATTCAATGATGACCTGGTTCTGATATGTTATAGCTAGTATATTCAAAATTTTATATTCAAAAGTGTCTTTACATGACATTTCAATGACTGGCCATGAACAATTTAGCCCTTGATCTACCTTTTCTGGAGATTGTTGTTTTTTTTTTTCTGCATAAAATGATTCTTTTGAAGTCTAAAAACAGCAAATATTGATATAGTCATTAACATCCAGCATTATCTTTGAATATCCTTTTCTATTAAATCCTTGGCTCAAATGAGATTGCTTCCTAGTGTCAACAGTGTTTGAATGAGGCCCCTGCTGCTCACACATGCATATTTAATGTAGGTCAAGGTTAAGCTGCAGCAGCCTACATCTGAAGTTGCCTGCATGTTAGTGCCTTTCTTGGTGCCAGCACAGCCAGGGCAACTACCTAAGCCCCACTGTGACTAGCATCTGTTGAGCCGAGCCAGGAGGCCAGAAGCTGGAGAAGCCTGCCCACCACATTCTGTGCTTTTGCTGAAGCCTGTATGTCTTCACCAGCGGGATCCACACCCCCCACCCCCAGCCATTCTGGTTGAGGCCTGCACACCTTTCATTAAAGGCTCAGTATCATAACCTATCTCTATGGGAAACAAACAAACTTCCGGGAACAAAACTACTTTAAAATTTGGTAGGTAAAAAATTCCCTGTACCTGCTATTGGCATTTGGCCTTGGAGTTGACATGTGCATCCCACACTGGAATGCCTGGGCTGGAGTTCCTGCTTCACTCCCTAGTCTAGCTTCCTGCTAATCTGCAGACTGGAAGCAGTGGCGATAAGTGATTGCGTCACTCACTGAACCACGTGCAGACCTGGACTGAGTTTCTGGCATGACTGTCATTCAGCTTCAGCTACCACACACATCTGGTTAGCAAACCACTGGATTCGAGATCTTTCACAAACATTTTTAAAAACAAGCAAAATTTCATGTCTTAAGCCTCAAAGTCTTTTTGCCAAAACTGTAGCAAAAATGTAACACAGGCCTACAAAACTGAAATTAATGGCTCAATATAATTCCCCACAGACTGCTGAGATCAAAAGTCTACATAAACATTGAAGTTTCAATTGAAGCCACAAGCACTGACCAACCTAAGCTTCTCCACATAGCAAGCTCCCTCAGATTAGGTCCCTTTTTCATCCCTTGATGTACTGCCCCATGCAGCACAATCCTTGTGATGCCATATGCATAACCGCAGGCCTCTTCCCTGCTCTGCGTCCATCCTCCTCTGAAATGCTCTCAACAGATGCTCTTCATAACCAAAGCACAATGAGGACATTTACGCTACCATACCAGGGCCTCCCACACTAACTTCCATTCCACTTTACTTCTCCTGGACAGAACAGGTATGACAGTAGGAGAAGATGTGTGTTAGGCTGACAGTGTCTCCTCCACAGGGAGTCAAACATTAGAGATGACCACAAGTGTTGTCCTCCATCTGCAATAATGCAACCTAATTTGTAGATAGTTACCTGCCGCCCACATCCCTTCGTGCATCTCCCTCATGCAGTGCTCCCCTCTGAGCTTCCCAATTGTGAAGCCTTTTCTTAATTCAGCTTCAAACATATTTTTTCCTAGTTTCTTCCAAAAGAAAAATCCTATTCTGGTACTTCATAAAACATGGCACAAAGACCAATGACAATAAAATCTCTGTGATCACAAGTTTAAAAGTCCATTACTGGTGGGTCTCAGGACGGGGCGTCTCATGCCTGGATCCCGGACAGCCGCCATGTGCACATGATGAGCTGTTTCCCGGGCCTGCTGGGTTCTGGGGGCTGCTTCCTTTGAGGTGAGTAGACCGAGGGGGGAGGCCTCCGGGACTGGGCAGGTCTGGGACCCACCCGCCGCCCTCATTGGGCAGTGAATGGGATTTGGGAGGGGCGCGACCTTGGGCCTGGGTTATTTAAACCTCCAGCAGCCTCCCGGCAGCTGGTGGGTCTCAGGACGGGGCGTCTCATGCCTGGATCCCGGACAGCCACCATGTGCACATGGTGAGCTGTTTCCCGGGCAGCCACTGCACCATTTGGTGCCAGGCTCGGCCTACTGGCCGCCCGGCCGGGGAACTCTGAGGATTTGGTTCTTTGAGTCACTGCTTAATTAGCTCCAGGTTGAACCCATTGTGCTTCTTGGACCTGAAACAGGCAGTAACTCTTCCTTTGTAAAACCTGTAATCACCAATAATGCTGAGCACCAAATACCAGTCCATGCAGAAGCTATGGCTTGGGGCTTGTCCTGCAAAAGTAGCTCCAACGGCTGGCTAATGTGTCAACTGCTAATGGAACAGAGTAGATCAGGCATGACTGAGCAAACCTTAGCCCACAAGTAAAACTAGAAACCAGGAGGGAGCAGAGGTCATGCCGAGCTAGGCTCTTGTACCTGCTGGTCTGCGGGAGCCAGGGACACTAAGCCACAGTGTCTAAGGCAGAGTTCGGGACAGGGGAGGGGCTGTGCCAAGCTGAGTCAGAGCATCCATTGGCAGGCATGTGATCTATGGCTGGGAACAGACCCGGTTGGGGAGCAAAGGGGACAACCCTAGCTGGGTTGAGGTTCCCACCAAGAGGCACGTGGCCTGGAAGGGGGGCAGCATTCTGATCTGGAAACAGTTGTAGTCTCCCTTGGCACAAGTGTGGACTGGGATTGGATGCACCGAACTGGGCCGGACCCCGACTCCCCCTGGTGTTCTGGAGGACCAGGGCAGATGTGGGATGGACTAGGCAGGGTCTCAAACCCCTACTGAGCCATGTGTGAGCCATACGTGGGTATGGACAAACCATGGCTGGGCTGGAACATCCAACAGCAAGAACCAGATTGGGTGGAAGGCCAGTCAGGAAAAGCCACAGTTCCTGCTATGACAGGAGGTGGACTGAGTAGGGTTGGCTCATGGACCCACTGGTAAGCATGAAACCTGGCATTGGGAGAGGTTCTGATGGAGGAGCCTGGGCAACTCCTCTGGCAGGACACAGACCCAGCAGGTAAACGCAAGAAACATGATAGGAAACAGCCCAGAAAAGGCCATGGAAAACTACCCACTGGCATACAATTGGCAGACGTGGGGGCAAGACCAGGCTGAATCTGTCCACATCATCCACTGGCAAATCCAGGCACCAGTGTGGGTCAACCCAGGGTTGGTCGCAACAAAGACTAGTGCACATTATGGAATGCCGAGGTGAGGTTGCCTGTACCAGAAGGGACCGCAGCGCCCAACCAGCCTGAGAACAAGAAAGGAAGTGGGCAGAGCTGGCAGGGGAATAAGGGAGGGTTCCTTTGCAGGACAGCTACTTCCGCAGGAGAGCATGGGCTGGGATGGGGGCAGACCAGACTAGACAGAGCTACCACACCTGTGCGCCTCATGTGGACTAGATCAGGGAAAAGCCGGGCTGGGCGGATTATTCCTACTGGTGCAAACAAAATTAAAGTGGGCGAGGGTTGTTGGGGCTTAGATGCAGCATCAGCTGGAATCTGGGAGTGGGAGAGGCCTGGGAGGGAAATAGTGGGCTCATCCCTCTTGGGTTACCACTTCCACAGGAAGACATAAAACTAAGATAGCGGCTGGGGTGGAATGGGGTGTGGGACAGACTGGATTACTGCTACACTTACTGGCAAACCAGGGTAGGGGGTGGGCCTGGTGGGGGTTATTGTGGGTTGCTCCAACTAGGCTGCAGCTCCCACTGGTTTATGTGAAGGCCAAGTATGTGCTGGGCAGAACCAGGCTGAACTGCAACACCCATTGGTTCCAGTGGAAGTCAGGAGTGAAAACAGAACCAACCCAGCAATTGCAACCACCAGCTGATTGGAGCGATGGACGGTGCCAGGCCCTGTACTTGTTAGCACATACAAGAAGTTTCTTTGGAGATCTTCCTAATCTAAATGCTGGACTCAGAACCCTAATGAAGAAAAGAGAGAAGACAGAACAGGTCAATCAACCATCTCAGCTATGATGGACTATGTCAATCTGTGGATTTTTCAAAGACCTCATAGTGCTTGGAGTGGCAAGATTGACAGCAATTCATAACTGTTGCAATATCAAAACCACTTGAGCAAGAACCTCAGAGCATGCCCTACATCCGGGACCTGGGGAGAGTGGGAAATTGGGTGGGCCTTCTCCCTTAATACCCCTCTTTAAACATGAAGGTAACAATATGGAAAACATACTAGTATTATCCACTTTCCTGTAGCCCTTGAACCTTCTTACCCTAATTAACTATGTAAAGAACGTCAAAATAAAATTTTATTAAAAAAAAAAAGAGGATACTAAGAATAAAAAAAAAAGTCCATTACTGAGTTATTTTATTCTACCCAAAGCTCTCAGAGTCAGAGTAGGACTTTAACATGCATTTCCCAGGAGAACCCCCAGGATGTTCCCTGATACCTCAGTTTGGATAGTATTTTGTAGCAGAGTGTCATTGAGCATTCTCTCCGCATGTTGTTTTAGCTTACTCCCTTAAAGATCTTTGAAACATCTTTTAAAAGTATAACTGCTTAAAATGAACCTTGCATAACGTTAAAAAAAAAAAATTTATTTTTTTAATAAAATTTGAAACACAGAATGAAGAGATACCTTCCATCCAGTGGTTTACTTCTCAAAAGGCCACGACAGCCAGGGCTGGGTCAGGCTGAAGCCAGAAAGCCGGAAATCCATCCTAATCTTCCCCAACGGTTCAAAGGCTTAAGTAAATGGGTCACCATCTGTTATTCTGCAGGTGCCGTAGCAACAGACTGGATCCCAAGTCGTGCAACTGGGACCTCTGTCCAGCACTGAGGACCTCAATGGCAGTGTTGCAAGGCGTGGCATAACCTAATGCCATCAGAATGTGAGTCCCAACAAAAGTAAAAATGACCTGGATTTTCACTTGTCTGCCAAGTCTAGATCTCCTTCCATGTTGTACCATGTCAATATCTAGAAGCAAAAACACAAGCAAAATCCATATAAATCAACTGAACAAGTACGCATCGTACTCCTAACAAGGTAAATGTAAGCTTTCTAGGGTGCCTGCTATTTAACTCACTGCAAATGTCTAAACCTTGTATTTTTGAAAAAACAATAGGGGCTTGCTAAGCATCCCTTTGTGTACTTTTAACTGCTGAATTGGTCATTATAATATAGGTCTCCCATAAACCCAATCTAGCCCACATTTGCCTTTACAATATTATCAGTGTTTTATCAAGCTTGGGTTCTCTCCTTTACAAGGATTATAGAGTCTCCCTTATCTCACTCTAACTTGGGGGAGGAAAAGCAGATAGTCCAACACTCTGCCTCACCTTACAAAGACTTTCACACTACAGGATCTCTACCATTTGAAATACAAAGCTTGGCTCTACATGACACTACTGGGCTTCCATCATCATTGAAAATCTTACATCAGCAACCTGTGTGCTTTCACTTATCATTTCACTTACATAAGAGAAACAAACTTCATGTATTTCAAAATAGATATAGAGCATCATAACATTTCCCATCCCACCTCAGTCCCCCACCCTCCCCCTTAAAAGTTTTATGACATACTTTCAGTTCACTTCATCACAGGCTTACCGCTCTGGTAAAGAACAAACAGCAAGTTTGTGTTCAGTGCAGTAGCATAGCAGCTGAAGTCCTTGCTTTGCATGCACTGGAATCCCATATGGTGCCAGTTCTATTCCCAGCAGCCTTGCTTCCGATCCAGCTCCCTGCTTGTGGCCTGGGAAAGCAGTTGAGGACAGCCCAAAGCCTTTGGGGCCTCACACCCACGTGGGAGACCCAGAAGAGCTCTGGGCTCCTGATCAGCTCAGCTCCAACCATTGTGGCTGCTTGGGAAGTGAATCAGCAGACAGAAGCTCTTCCCATTTCTCCTCCTCTGTATATATTTTCCAATAAAAATAAATCTTGAAAAAAATGATTTAACAGCAATTAAAAAAATCAGTTTAAAAAGCAGAGTGTAAACAACAGTCTCATTTCAAAGACTACTTGTATATCTCAGACACTGAGATTCTTGTAATGCAAGACTCATTTATTCATCTCAAAGTTACACAGGGAGCGCTTCATCTTACTAGTTCACTCCCCAATACCTGCATCAGGCAGGTTGGACAAAGCCCAAGCCAGGAACCTCATGTGAGTTTCCCGGTCAGTGTAAGGTCCCAGGGTTCTGGCCTCTGTCGCGTTCCCGAGGAATAGGCCAGGAGCCACATCCAAAGCAGAGCAGCTGGCATGTGAACTGGTACCCATATGGGAGGCTGATGACGCCAATGGCATTGGATTAGCATGGCACGCCAGAGTTTTGAACCTAAACTCCAGAGTTTTATGCTTCACTTCTTAATGAAAGCCCCTTTGGTATACACTGAGCAGGTTTTTTTTCAGCAACAAAGTGAACTGTCAGGAATGTGCAACACTTATTTAATTAAAAATAATTACAAAGTTCAGGGGATCACTTACCAGCATTTTTTTTTTATTTTTTAAAGATTTATTTTATTTTTATTGCAAAGTCAGATATAGAGAGGAGGAGAGACAGAGAGGAAGATCTTCTGTCCGATGATTCACTCCCCAAATGGCCAAAACAGCTGGAGGTGAGCCAATCCAAAGCCAGGATCTAGGAGCTTCTTCTGGGTCTCCAGGTGGGTGCAGGGTCCCAAGGCTTTGGGCTGTCCTCCACTGCTTTCCCAGTCACAAGCAGAGAGCTGGATGGGAAGCGGGCTGCCGGGATTAGAACTGGCGCCCATATGGGAACCTGGGTGTGCAAGGCAAGGACTTTAACCACTACGCTATCGCGCAGGCCCTATTTATATCAGTAATAATGCAAATTCAAAGACATACAGCTGAGTAATAAATGAACATTTATTTTGTAAAACAATTTATTTCACATGTACAGAAGTGCATATGTGTGGATAGCATCTCCCAAATGGGTTTTTGCAGATCTTCAGCTTCCCTGACCAGAGGGGAGAATAAGAAAGTCACAATATGCAGGACATATACAGAAAAAAAAACGTGTTAACATGTTTTATACACAAAATAACCTAATAGTCCAAAAGCACTTTCTACGTAAAAGGTCCCACTACAGTCAGCAAATATTTTAATCTTTGAGGAAAGACAATTGCATAATTTAGTTTTTTCCTTGTATTTTTTGAAGAAGATACTCCATTTGTAAGTTCAGGTTTGGTTGACCCTTCCTGGTCTTTTTGCTCAGTATTTTGAAGGTTTCCATTTTCTTCTTCTTGTATAGCCGCTGAGCTGCTTCTCTTTCTTGTTTTCTCCTTTCAAACTCCTGAAATCAACATTTATAACCTCGTTAATAATAAACAGTAGATAAAATTCAAAGCTTCCTTTGAAAAAGCTATCATCTATCCTTTAAGGGGCATCTCAGATTTTACAAAATGTACATTGGTTTCTGTAATGATTCAATGAGCCTTTTTTCTTTCAAAATGATACATGGCATAACATAATAAAGTTATTAAACAGTTTCAATCATATCTATGAAGCCCAAATTAGACTGCTGAAAAGAGAAGGCATACTAACATAACTTCATTATTAATTAAATCCACTGAAGTAGAAGGGACGTTAGAGCTTATCTAGTCCAATTCTCCACATAACACTAAAAATGGCTTTGTCAGTATTTATGTCTGATACTGTCTTTATGCTGGCAATTGATTTATAGGTTTAATAAAATATAGTATTATAAGTTAGCATATGGCCACTTAAGAGCTATCCTGTATTTTCAAGTGCAAGGAAAAAAATAAGCAAGTTTCCTAAACCCAAAAAGCACTATTCAAAGCCCAACATTCCCACTAAAATCTTAAGTTTTAAAAAAAAAATGTAATAGGTACACTGCATTTTAATTTCTGTCTCAAAGCAGAGCTCCCAAACAATAGTCTCATATTTTTATGGTAACATAACTGTGTATTCTTAAGTCTCATATGTGAAATCCTAAATCCCAACCATTTCCAAGTGTACATGCTAGGTTTAATGCTCATCTCACAGAGGAGTCACTGTCTAGCGATGCTGTAAGTGACTCACCCAACAGTCCAAACAAGTGGGGAAGCGAATCTCACAGCCAGATGTGCAGAACTAAGAGCCTGCTGTGCTATGTTCTATCACACGGAACTACACTCTCACATTACACATAACACCTTCTTATTTTAAAATGCAAACAGATCTAAACTTTGTGTTAGTTATGTAGCTCAGTTTACTCCTACTGAATTTTTCTAATAATATATTTTAATATCTTTACCACTAATAATGGGTCTTTAATGTTCTTAACAATTTTGATTTCTGAAAGGCAACAGTGTTGACTTATGCATTAATGTTTGAAATCAGCAAGAATAAACTGCTGCTAAGCTTTATATTTGGTAATTTTTACAGAGCTATTACCAGGTGTCCAAAGCTAAAAGGAGTTTGCATATACATTCAGGATAAAAAAGGACAAAAGGTACTATGTATTTTTAAAGCAAAACTTACTTGTTTCTTAGCAGCACGCTCAGCTTGTATCCGTTCATACTCCTCTTGTGCCTTTTGATTTGATGTTTTCTTTTTATTTTTCTTTGAATTAGTAATGGAGCTTATAAGGTAAATTAGACATAAGACATAAAATTTTAAAACTGTTGAGCTAAAACCAGAATGTAATTTCCCAACATCACACTTGAATAGTAAAACTGTACTACACACATTAACTGAGCAGGGAGGACAAGCAAGCAGAGACTGGACACGAGCCCGGTTACAAATAGCCCTCCTTCTCACACTGCAGCACCCGGCTCCAGTCCCGACTTCCAGCTGCCCAACACTGCACACACTAAGGGGCAAGGCCGAGGCTCCAGTAACGGGGTGTCTGCGACCCCATGTCAGACACTTGGATTGTGTTCCTGACTCCTGTCCTTGGCCTGGTCCACTTCTGGTCATTGCGGACATCTGAGAATGAACCAGCAGAGGGGAGCATTCTGCCTCACAATTAAAAATTTCAAAATAAGACACCGAAAATACAGCTGCAGCATTGAAGATTACAGATCAACTTGAAAGCTGAAAATTAAAGATTCTTAGAGAACTATCTCAACCAGAAACAACAGAGAAAGCTCTAAACCGTCCTCATGTATTACAAAAATTAACAAAAACAGGAAATCGGTATGTGGAAAAACAAGTAATGAACACATCAAATTGAAATGTGACAGGAGGTTATGAGTATGCATGAGTATGAGTGTACATGAACCAATCTTAACTCTTTGACCACCTTATTTTTATTTATTTCTTCTTAAAAGATTTATTATGTATTTGAAAGGCAGAAGTTGCAGAGGAAAGAGAAAAAAGAGAGAGAGAGGGAGAAAGGGGGACAGGAGGAGAGGGTGAGAGGGGAGAGGGCGGGAGGAGGAGAGGGCGGGAGGGGAGAGAGAGAAAGAGAAAGAGAGGTATTTTCAATTCACTGATTTCCTCTTGAAGTGGACACAGCAGCTGGTGCTAGGCCAAGCAAAGCTAAAAACCAGGAGCTTCTCCCTGGTCCCCCACGGGCTGCAGGAGCCCGAGTCATCTTCTCCTACTTTCTCAGGAACATTAGCAGACTCAAACTGGTGCCCATATGGGATGTTGGCGTTGGAAGGCAGCAGTTACCTGCTACACAACACTGGCCCCTTTTCCCTTTCATTACTTAATCATGAATCATAACTACCATATTGCTAATCCAGCCACCTGAGACTCTACCTATCATTTCTGGATATCTGACTCAATACTGATCTTCCTCTCCTCTGCCTCTCAGCTTTTCCCTTTCTGACTCTCAACTGCAGTGGGCACTTTTAGGGGAGCCCACCCCCTTGCTCCAAAAGGGAAACAAGCAAAACTAGAGAAAGCCCCCAAAAGATGAATGATTGTCAACAGGCTTTTCCAGGAACGGGGGCGGGGCGGGAGGAGGGGCTTTCAAAAACACCAGGCTCTACCTAGGAGGCAAAACACTGCGCACTTCTGCAATACCACAACCACAATTAGCTCATCTCCAGCACCGTTCCCAGGTCAACTGCAGTTTAGGTGCGTGCAGGCTTAATTTTATATAACAAGTTGTGTGGGCAGTATTATCACTCTAACATAACTGAATGTGCATTAAGAACCTTTGTGCTAGCACATATAAACGAGGGCCTCTGCCTTGTCTGGGCTCCAGAATTTGGAGAATGAACTCTTCACTGGGTCTCCCACAACTGTCCAAGTTTTCCACGAAATAACTGCAACATACCATGAGGGTGCCCTACACATATAGCAAGAAACACACAAAAACTCTTGTATCATGATAAATTATCTTTTAACTTCAGTTTTTCTATGAGCATCTTAGTACCCTTTTGCACTTTAGTTCTTTTCATAAGCACATACAGTATGCATTACCCAACACTATGTTCCCTTCTAACTACCAACTTCATTCCCTACCATCCTGTGATGTCTGATTTCTACTCACACTGATCATGTCCATCTCAACATAGTGATGAGCTTTCAGTCAAACAGAGCACCCTGCAGTGTTAAATTCAGTACTTCTGAAGATTCCACTCCCGTAGTTGGGGTACTACTCCTTCGTCCAGATCCTTTCTAACTGCTGCTCCTTGGCTATGCATCGTGGAGCCTCTTCGTTTCCTTTACCCTGTTGTTCAGTGTCAACTCTGTCCACATATGCAGCTTCAAGCAGCAAATGTACACAGAGCTAAACACTGAGTCAGGGTTATCCCGAGACTCTTCAAGTTCACCAATGACTGCCTCCTTCAGATACCTACAGATACCTACAGATATGTTCAGTCTGCTTTCCTTGGGATTCTAGCAGCTAACAAAACTTGATCGTCCTAAGTTTATCTGGTTTAGCTTTAAAAAATCTGAACCTGTGCAGTAAGTTCTTAAGTTAGAGCTGCACCACTGGTTTTTAAATCGCAATCCACTTTCTCTTACCTGCAGAAAATCTGGACTAATAGAATCAGAAATAGGAACAGCTAACACTCATTCATGCTTCCAATACAGCATATACCGGCAATTTTTAAGTGGCCAATAAATTAACTCATTTCATCTTGGCAATGTGAAGAAACGCTTCAGAAATATCACAAAACCTATGTGGATGATCCATGCAGACTGCCTAATACAATGGCTCTAAATTACATTCCTAATTTACAGGAAAGGACAGTGGGGCACCAACATGTGAATGTGACTCTACAATCCAGAACGCTGATGACTAGTTGGGGAACATCTGCCAAAAACTGTTTCAAGAAATGTATTAATACATGGAGCTAACTGAGCTCCAAGTATTCCGCCTGTCCATGAGAGGCAGAAATCCACAATGCACACCTCTTCATTCCTACTCCACTGCCTCCTCCTAAGTAACTAAGGGACACAATTTAGTTACTCTGAAAAGTCTCCAAGGGTCAGTGCTGCTGTGCAGCCAGTTAAACCTCCACCTGCAACACCTGCCCCCGCCCCCAGCACTGCTTCCAGCCCTGGCCGCACCTCTTCGAGTCCAGCTCTCTAACGTGCCTAGGGGACAGCGCAAGACAGCACACGTGCTGGGGCCCTGCCACCCACACGGCAGGCCTGGGTGGAGTTCCAGGTTGTGGGCTTCAGTCTGGCTCAGCGCTCGTCATTGCGGGCACCCTGGGGAGTACATCAGTGCATGGGAGATCTCTTTCTCTAACTCCGACTTCCAAATAAGCAAATAAGCCTCTTAAAAAAAAAAGCCCACAGAACGTGTGTACTTTTAAAAGGCTAAAATAAGAAAAACTTTCCTAATTGCCCTATTATAACTTTAGAAAATTCTACTTACTTTTGAAATAAGGAATTGAAAGAAGAAGAAACCTACTTGACTGTTTTGCTAGACTGCTGTGTCTTCAGCTGGTGGCCGGACAACGCCTGGTCAGTGCCCTCCTGCTCCTCAGGCGGTGGATGGGCAGCCGGGCCCTCTGACACCGTCCGCTCGACCTTCCTTGGCCTCTTCTTCAGCCTTTCCTCTTCAGCTAAGTAGAGATGCTTCAGATGCTCTGGGTACCGGTCTGTGAACTGTGAGTCCTGCACTTTCTGAGCCGCCTTCTCCTTCCACTGCAATTTCTTGTAATTCTGCTGAATCTTCAGTTTTCTTCGGAACGCAAAGCCTTGTCCTATATTAACACAGAAAACATGCTGAGTAAAAAATACAGTTTTAATAAAAATGAAAATCTTTTTAAGATTACTTTAATAACCTTATGCTGAGGGAGAAATAACACACAAAAAAATCCTTTATTAAAATAGCTGGCTAACAATAAGCATCTTTAAAAATATGAAAACTTGATTTTTAAAAACTAGTCACCAAACAAAATTTCTCCGTTCATCATTTCTCAGACCCTCAGACCTGCTGAGGTCTGGGCCACACCTTCGGCACTGCCCACGCACTGGGAACATCTTACCTTTAGGTTACCCTCCAAACAGGAGGAATTAGGAACCACTTTCAATCCCAAGACCCTTTAGTGTCTCTCCCGCCCTCCTGTGAGAGGCACCCCACCTTTCGGCTTTCTTTCGACCGGCTTTCCCTCCCTCCCTCTTCCCTGTTCACCTGGTCCCTTCACAAACTTTTATGTCTGCAGCTGATTCCCGGCTTTTTATTTCTATAATAAGCTATAATAAGGAAAGAACCTACCAAGCTTTTCCAGCAACACAAATGCACACACGAGCGAATGTGCAGGCGCAGCCACCAGGAAGTAAGGGCTATGCTGGGGTTTCAGTACGACAGGGTGGCCCCTGCGTCCCAGGAGTCCGGGGAGCACTGGAAGACCTGAGAGCAGTGGGGAGCCCTGGGGAGCTCTGGGGAGTCCTGGGAGCAGTGGGGAGCTCACGGGAGCTCTGGGGAGCCATGGGGTGTCCTGGGGAGCCTTGGGAGCACAGTAGGGACCTGGGGAGCTCTGGGGAGTCCCAGGAGTCCTGGGAGCACCGGGGAGCCCTGGGAGCACTGGGAGCCATGGGGAGCAGTGTGAAGTCCTGAGGAACACTAGGAGCCCTGGGAGCACCGAGAGCACTGGGGCGCTCCAGGGAGCAGTGGGGAGCCCTGGGGAAGCTCTGGGGAGCTCTGGGGTGTCCTGGGGAGCTCTGGGGTGTCCTGGGGAGCTCTGGGGAGCCGTGGGAGTCCTGGGGAGCACTGGGAGCCCTGGGAACACCAGGAGTCTAGGAAGCCCTGCGGAGCTCTGGCGACTCCTGCGAAGCCCACAGTTCTGACGCCCCGACCAACACGGGCCTCATTCTCTCAGTCTTTCTTCGAAAGTTCCCACATCCCCCGGCATTTCGGTGCTGCGGATTTGAAAGCGGCTACCCCCTTACCCTGGCGTACGCTGCCGGCGAAGGCCTGCGCGTGGCTAGGCCACCAAGTCCTCCGTCTCACACTCTTGTTGGCGCGTCCGACGGGAGAAACCCCTTCGCCCTGCGTCCCATCTCCCCCGGCTGCCCACCTCGCGGCCGGCCTGGCCGGCGCCATGACGACTGCGACGCGCGCAAAAGACGTCACCAGGCTGAAGCAATCAATGCCGCAGCGGGTCTCCGGCTCGGCGCTCGACACGGCCGGCCTTGCAGCGCACCGCCGTCGCCGCGCGGCTCCGCGGGCTCCGCGGGCGCCACCTGCAGCCCGGGCGGGGGAGCGTCATGGCGGCGTCCGGCCTGCTGCCCGTGACCCCCGACCTGCCCACACTGCGAGCCAAGCTGCAAGGACTGCTGCGGTTCCTCGGGGACGCCCTGGCCATTGCCAACGCGCACACGGTGGACTTCTACACCGAGTCCCTGTGGGAAGAGCTGGTGGACCTGGCCCCGGAGGCGGCGCTCGCGGCGCTGCAGCTGCGGCGGGAGGCCGGGCCGTGGGACGCGCAGCCCCGGGGGCACGCGGCGGCGGGACCAGGTGGACGGAGGGCCGGGCGGGAGGGCCAGGGCCGGGCCCGGGGAATGTTCTGTGCCCACTCCGGACGAGGCGCGCCCTCTGGTGGGAGCACCCCGGGAGCGCGGGCGGCGGCGGGGGTCTGCCCCGGGGAGGCCTGGGTCGCTGGGCAGAGGCGCTCGTTCCATTGCTTAACCCGACTTGGTGCAAGCTCGGCCACAGTGCTTGCGAGGGGCAGGTCGAACGCATCAATAATGCGGGGGAATAGTTCCGACTGGGCAAGTAGAACAGCAAAATGGGTGTAATGGGACGGCGGCCATACAGAAAAGATGGACCGGATTCAGAACCCAATGGTCCTGTTGGGATTCCCAGGATGGCGTTGCAGATAGCAGGCACCGCACCCGAATGCATCAGCAGGTGCGGCAACGTGAAAACATAATGCAATTCTCATTGGAAAAGATAGTTCACTTGTTGAAGGATGGACCACCAGGCAGTGAGTCGAGGGGCCAGGCTTGAGGCGACCTCAGTGGCACAGGAAGGAAATGATGGCGCCTTGGACGACGCTGGTAGCCGTGAATTATGTAAGAAGACTTTGCAAAGTCTCTGTTATGTACCGTGATTTTTAGTAGCTTCTCGAGTTCCGTGCTTTTAGGAAATTTCGGCTCTCAGGCCAGCGTAGTTTTGCAAGTGGAATGATGGGGAGTCGGCAGAAGGCTTCCAGGATTTGTCTTTGCATCTACGCTTTCTGGCCCTCACCGTTGCTACTGAGCGAAGGAAGCTTGACTTTTATATTTTCCACAAGCATATTTTCTTAATATATACTTATTCAAAAACAAAGTGATTAGGCGAGAGATAGGTTTTCAGACTGCTGCGGTGCAGAAAGCTCTGGGTGGAAGGCAGGAGTTAAGAATTCCATGTGTTTTTCCCACTTAACACGTAGGGATGCAAGTACTTGAGGCCATGCCTGCTGTGAAAAGTGTGTACTTACTGCAAATTGTTTATTTATTTGTTTCAGAAAGGCCGCTTTCAGAGAGGAGAGACAGGGAGAAAGATCTTCCGTCTTCTGGTTCACTGCCCCAATGGCCACAGTGGCTGGAGCTTGCCCATGCAGAGCCAGGAGCCAGAGGATGGGAGCTTGGAGCTTCTGGGTCTCCCATGTGGGTGCAGCGGGGAGCTGGATACCAAGTGGGGCAGCCAGGGCATGAACCAGCAACCATATGTGATGCTGGCGCTTGCTGGCAGAGGGTTAGTGAATAGAGCCATCACATCAGCTGTGTGGTTGATTTCATTTGCAGTAATTATTTATAACTGCATTTGGCTAAGAGAGAGAATAGACTTGCATCTGTTTTGTGCTAATGTTGAGATATAAGCAAGGGAGTTTAGAATAAGAATGGAAGATGACATTAAATACAATTGATATGCTATCCTTAATGGGGGGAGGAGTTTTCAAAGAGAACTATGACTTTATTTTGCTTTCTCTCAAAAAATCCTTTTAGTAATTTAATCGTGCCAATACTTTTTCGAGACTAAAAGGTCCATTTGTATTCCTTACTTCAATAATGAACTAATAGATATTAATTATTCTTGGAAAGTGAGTCCAGGCTAGGCTCAGGTTAATGATTGGAAACAAGAGGCTGATGGGACGGTGGCAGTCCCAAGCTGGTGGCGTGCTGAGGCATTGCTGAGTAGTACAGCCTGCAGTGGTTTTGCAAAAATGACAACTGAGAAAGGGAATTCAGATGTCTCTGGAGAAGGAACTGCCGTCTCAAAATGTGCCGAATGGCTCTGTTGGTTATTTCAAGCTGAAATCAGTGGATGCAAAGTGACTTTATAAAGGGCCTGCTGGTCACTTTGTGCAGGAAGCAAGCCAAGAGATTCCTGGGCAGGCTGCTCCTCACTGACCTCTGCTGGAAATTGGCCGGAATTACCAGAGACTGGGAAACTCGGAACTGAGTAGAGACTTAAAAATCCCTTACCTCCTTTTAGTTTCTACACCCCTCCACCCTATGTCTTTATCTTTTTTGCATCATCTATTTATTTGATTGTTTCAAAAGGAAAAGTCATAGAGAGATCACATACCCTTTGATTCACTCCTAAAAGATTGCAACAGCCAGTGCTGGTCCAGGCCAAAGCCAGGAGCCAAGAGGTTGCTGCAGCTCTGCCAAGTGGGTGTGGCGGGCCATCACTGGCTGCCTCCGGCCACGTGGGTGTGGCGGGCCATCACTGGCTGCCTCCGGCCACGTGGGTGTGGCGGGCCATCATCAGCTGCCTGCCTTCCCAGGCACTTAGCTGGGAGCTGGAGGGGAAGTGACAGCGAGCAGAGCTAGGCAGCAGGTGGAAAGTGGAGCAGGGACTGACTGACACTCTGCGTCATGAGCTGCAGCTTTGCCCACTGCCCCACACGGATGCAAACCTCTTTCATATCTACAGATTGCTAGAATTGACGGGCCTACTCTGGGTAGGCAGCTCTTCTGCTTTGTCTCACAAATGTCTTCTTTACCTAACAAGTGTGAAAGTACTTTGGAATTGACTCATTGATGAGCATCCTTGTGTATATGTAAATTTAATACAACCTTTAGCACGTTCATTAATAGGTTCTCAGATCCAGCCAAAGGTGCCACATAAGAAGTAAGGGAGGGCTGGATCTCTCTCGCTCTTTTTCTCTCTTTCTCTCTTCACCAACAGGAAGGAGTGAGGAATGAGAGATTGCTGTGGAACCAGATGCTGCACTTACATAGAATCATTTTTATCAATTATGGTATCTCTTGTTAAAGTTTTATAACATGAGATTTATTTTGCATTTTTAACTAACTCATGTTTTATATATTAAATCTACATTTGCTATTCATCTAGCAGATACTTAGCTAGCAGTTCAGGTTTGTGTAGCCCACCTCTGGGTCCCCAGGTGTACTTTTGGCGCTGGCCACTGCATCCTGACTCCAGCTCCCTGCCGGCGCCCTGCTGCCCCCCTGTGGCCCTCCTGGACCAGCAGCCTGCCTTCCCCTCTGCTCTTGGCCCTGATTTCACTGCTCTGTGTGCCTGGAGAGTGAACCAGTACATGGGTCTCCCTCTCTTTCTGTATGTCTCTTTCTGTCTCTCTGCCTCTCACATAAAGATTCTTTGAAAATTTCAGAAAATGTTTTAAAAGATTTGTTTCATTTATGATCAGATGATTAATTTCATGTGAAGTTCAAATTTATTGCATTTCTGTGAATCTCCTTTCTCTTGCTTTTTTCTTCTAATGATAGAGTTGAGATAATAGAAAATTGAAACAAGCTTAAAACTCTACTATAGGTCATTTGTGCATAATCAAGATATAGATTACAAATTACACGCAAGATTTAATGAGAAGTATCAATAAAATTCTCTCCTGTACTTTAAATTCTGGGACATAGCGCCAAATGCCTTGGGGCTTTCTGATCTAGAATTCCTGTGTTCTTTGTGTCTGGAGAATGCTGATTCCCAGTATTTCAGGTTACACTTCCTTGTTGAGTCTCGCGTTGCAACTTAGTCACCCCGACTGTACATTGATTCTAGTAACGGAGGGCTTTTTCAAAAAAGATTTCTTGATTAATATATTTAAAAGACAGAAGAGTGGGAATGAGAGAGAATCTTCCAGACGCGTTCATTCCCTGTATGGCCCCGACAGCCAGGGGTAGGCTGGGCCAAAGCCAAGGTCTGGGAACTTGTCTGGATCGCCCAGATGGGTGGTAGGGTTCTGAGGGCACTAACAGGGAGCTGCCTCAGCAGGTGCGGCTGGGGCTTCAGCCTAGACTCCAGTATGGGGGTCCTGCCTTGCACACTGTGGCCCCACGCGCTGCACCACAGGGGTCATTCCCCCGTGATGGGGATCTTGCACTCAAGTTTCAGAAGCCAAAGCTCCTTTCTTAACAGCAGAAGCCGAGTGTGTCTGTTGATCTTTACTTCAGATTCTGCTTTGCTATTCTATACACTATATACCAACTAAGTCTCAGTGTTAGGACATCTGCTACATTTAGTTAGACTTACTGGTTTGGGGGTTATCCATTAGAATCTGGTCTGTTTTAGGGAAATTTCAATAACATAGTTGTTTATATCTGTATGAATGTATACATGTGTATGTATAAATTATGTGACTTATAACGCTAGAGTGGATAGTGTGCCCACACTTTATAGAGACAGAAATTAAGTCATGGATCAAATAAATATATCCATAGTAACGTAAAGCTCACATCCATAACAACTAGTTGAAGCTAGTACTCAAACCCCCAGTTCTTACAATTCTGCTCATTCATTCATTCAATGCCTACTATGTGCCAAGAACTGCAGTGAATAAAAACCTGTTCCTTGTAAAAGCTGCTAATGCCATGATGTAATGACCTTCTCAGGCCCAGCCAGAACTGGAGCCAGTAGGTAAGGAAGTGTTGTGGGATGCGAGAGAGATCACTCCAGATAAGTCTAGAATGTATGAAACGATCTTTATTAACCAAGCGTGATGATGGCGGTTCCTGCTAGAAATTAGCAAATGACAAATCCGTGTGGCAGTCCAGTCTGAATCAAAACCCTAAGAGGACACAGCTGTAGACACTGACCCCTTCCTGGCTTCTCTGTCCATAATCCATTACTGCTGGGCCTCACCTCTCCTCTTGAAGATACACACATTAGAAATAGAAAGTGCCTTAGCATTTGCATCTTCACTGACTCACGCCAGCAGTGAACAGAGGGTGGGGAATACAGACACGCAGGGACCATGCTTAGGGGCTGCTTGTCCTGGGAAGCCAGAGAGCAAGCAGGTCCTGGGGAGGCCAAGAGCTGGAGTGCCAGAGCAATGGAAGCCTATGACGAAGAGAGAGAGGCCCTCCCTGTTGCAGGCCTTCGTGGGGGCTTGAAAGGGGCGTGGTTACACAACAATACAGTATCACCCCCTCTCGGGCTCCATCCAGGTGTTACTAGGTGAGCATCACAGGTGGGCAGAAAGGATTATGTGGGTGGGGTAGGCGTGGCTTTCAGGCTCCTGACCCTGCTGAACTAGCTGCTTACCCCAC